TTATTTTCAATCATATAAGTTTTCCACGGATAAGTCAAATAATTTTTCCCGAGTAGATCGAATATATTCTCCACGAATAAATCAAATAAACTCCACGAATATATCAAATATTCTCCACAAATATATCAAATAATCCCACGAATAAATCAAATAATATCTCGAGCCAATCAAATAATTTTCCTCGAACAAATCGAACAATTCCACGAATAAATCAAATAGTCTTCACGAGTATATCACATCATATTATTCTCCGCGAATAAATCAAATATTTACTCCAATTTTCACCAATTTAAAAATCGCTTGAACCAATAATTTAAATTAACTCCATACCTTCCTCATGAGAATATTATCTCAAATTACCTCACCGCGCGCGTCGAATTATCGCGAATTAGTTTTTGGCTAGAAACGGGACTATTCTTACTCATTGGGCCAAGTTTGGGTGAATAGGGCTCCATTTGGAGCTGTTTGGGGGCAAAATGGGCTGCAGTTGAGCGCTAATGGGCCGCTGGATCACGTTTGGGCCGGGAAATTGGGTCAAGAGGGTTGAGAAGGTGCGGGCCACCCGCGGGCTGGACACGGGCTTGCTGCGGGCCTTGCGGGCCTGACACTGTGAGAAGGGCGGGCTCAGACGCGGGCCGCTCTTTTCCTTACTCCTCTGCTGGGCTGCAACACATGGGCCTTACGCGACGTGGGCTGCTCGCTGACGGGCTTCCTTCCTGTTGGACCGTGCACATCGGGCTCAATGTGCTGGGACATGGACTGCATCGAACTACTCACCGATCTGCTCGATCCATGCTTCTACTCCGGCGGAAATAGCTGCAACGATGCTGTCGGAAAATGTCGCCGTCTCTGACGAATGCAACCGGTCGTGCACTCGCCCTAGCGAGGCGGTCCCGATGGTGTCGTCGGCTCGACGTGAGTCGACGGAAATCGACCGGGAAACGGAGAAGGTGACCGGTGTTGACAAAAAAATTTCTTAGATCCAAAAATATTGACCGACACAATTGACGGCCTTCCGCTTGGAATTTTCGCTTGATATTCTAAGGGTAGAACGAGCACAAGTAGAGCTTCGTGATGATGTAAAGATTCTCTCGATCGGAGGATTCTTCGCGGTGGCCGGTGGCGGAGGTGGCGGTGGCCGGCGGTGGCCGACGGCGGCACCGGTAGAGGTCACATGCTGGAGACTCGTCTCGACGAGAGGATTCTGATGGTCCTCCCGGATTTTTCATAGGCCGCACGGATCACCGGAAAAACGCCTTTGAAGGTCGAATGGTGACCAAAATTTCTTCGATCCGGAAAGTTTGACTGGCCAAATCGAAGGCCTTCCCGGATGAATTTTCGCACGATATTTTAAGGGAAGATTCACCTCGACAAGATCTACCCGTTGACGTAAACATCTTTCCGATCCGAGTACTTTGGCGGGCGGAGTCGAAGGAGAATTTTCGTAATTTTTCGATCGGAATTCCGTTTGGCTTTTTGAACAGGGTCCCACATACGGCGTCAATGAAGTGAATAAGATTTCACTCGGGCTCCTTCGACTTGGACAGCCTCCGTACCTGCAAGAACCCAACGCCGGGAGGGGTCCCGGCGTCGGGCCTCCGACGCTCAAGTCAGTATCACTCCAAATCCCAAGAATATGGTAATGAATGTAGAGAGAGAATGAGAAAATGGGATACCTTAGCCCTTTTATAGAGGGGATGTACCTTATGGCCCAAGTTGGTCTTGTCCCATAGCATCATGCCACGTGTCCTAGCCGTGTATAGGCTTATTCTTCCATATATTCTCTTTTTATCCATTAAGGCTGGTCTAGTATATAATATCCTATATCAAATATAAAGTTAATCACATAAGAATTCAATAATAAAGCAGATAAGTAAAACGAGACAAGAAACGAACAATTAACAATAATAATCGAGCAAGCAAGGAACTATAATGAAATAAAAGCAATGATAATAGAAATGCAAAAAAATAATCAAATAAATCACGGAATATTCTATATTACGAAAGGGGCACTACAGTGATGTTTCGTCTACTTTGATGAATTTCTTTGCTTTGGTGAAACGATAGTTTGACGGAACTGAATTTATGCATGATTATTTTTGTCAAGAGGACATTGTCCATGAGACTTCCTGTGTTGGTACCCCTCAACAAAATGGGCGTGTCGAGCGCAAACATCAACACATTCTTAATATGCTTACACTTTCAAGGTCATTTGCCTCTTGAATTTTGGGAACATTGTGTTCTTGTTGCTGGATATCTAATTAGTCGAACACCCACTCCGGTTCTGTTTGGAAAGACCCCTTATGAGATGTTATATGGTAAATCCCCTATGTTTACACATTTACATGTTTTTAGGTGCCCGTGTTATGCTCATAATCAGAGTTCACATGCTGACAAATTTGCTAGTCGAAGTCGTAAATGCATATTGTTTGGTTATTCTATTGGTCAAAAGGGTTGGTGTATGTATGATTTCGATAATGGTTCTTTTTTTTGTCTCTCGTGACATTAAATTCTGTGAATCTGAAATTTCTTATATGATGTCTCCCTCGTCTACCTCTCCTGTTATGGGTTCTTGGCCCATTGCATGTGATGATGTCGTGGATATATATATATTGTGTCTCCTACCAGCCTGTCTGAGTCCACGACTCCTAGTGGTGAAGACATATTAAGTTTTTCACACTGTTGACTGATAAGTTAATATTTTCACTCCAAAAAGTGCGCGAGACATTATGCGAAAGTTTAAAGTGCGAAGACTTTCACATAACCCCTTTTCACTTTCTGTGATGAAAAAAGTTAAAGTGTGAATCATTGTGTGGTGAATATATGACAGTTATGCGAACCATTTGCATAACTTTCGCATTTTTTTGGTGAAAAAGTTAAATTGTTAGCGGGTGGGATAAAAAACTTGATATGTCATTAGGGATGTGGTGAAATAATAATAACTTTAATTTATCATGATTATCTCGGAGTGAAACATAATTATATGCTCAATTTATTTAAGTGCCCTAACACATTAAAACTCCAAAACAACAATACTGCAAATTCATGTCCTCAAATCTTTCATTGATTTGTGTCTTTAAGTATGTAAATAGCAACAAATGGAACCAAACTCAACTTCAAGAAGCAACTCGGGGAGGAATATATGATCAATTGCCATTTATTTATCAAAATCCTTGGGATTATGTTGGCAAAATAATAGATTCAAATTTTGAGGGAAGTAAAATTACCCGAAACATTAATTCAATAATTCGTAAATGTGATGATGTTTGAAATCTTAACATGTGGGACATATAAATGAACCTTTCTAAATTTAAGGGGATGTATTTCCCCTCGCTCTTCACAAAATCAATATTTATTTATCCATAATTAACTGAATATGTCGAGGGTTCTTGATCATTAAAGGCCGTGTGTACCATTTCTCTTATTTTCAAGGGATGATTATGACATATATAAAAATTACTACAATAGAACACAAAATCTTATGCTATTCATATATATATTGACTAGAAAATGAAATACAATCAGAACTTAGAAGACCTGTTTGGTGTGTTTATGGACATTGTGCCACGTGTCGATACATGACGGGACATTGTATGTGAAATCAATCATAATTAGACTTGATTAAGGACCAAAATTCAGGATAATTATAATTGATTAGGAAGGGACAACCTTTGGCTTCTAACTTAAGTGATTTTATTAAAGGGATGGGACAGTGTTGCACATGGTTAATGGCCAGATATGGAGATTAAAAAATTGCTAGAAACATTTACTTTGATTAATTATATTAAAAAAAATTGTTTATGTAGTTAAATAGTTAAAGCATCTTTCTTTTCTTTCTTGGAAAACTATTATTAAAACAAACCAATAATGTAATCTACTTTTTATGTTCAAACATATCATGATTTTTTCCCAACAACTTAACAGAATTTTCATGGATTAATGTTAAGTTCGATGTATTTCATGGTCTCGTTCTTGTTTTATTCTTTCTGCTCTCCAAAATATTTTTCTCCATAACACATAAATATATGAAGATCATATCGTAATATATTGGAACTACCTAGTTAGGGAATTTTTTTCATACACTACAAACTGATTTGAAAATTTAATCAAGGCACTTTTTTTTTTGGGATATAAAAGTTATTGTGTTCTTTTAATTTATTATTTTATTTTTCTTTATATGTCTAGGGCCGAGGCTAGCTAGATAACTACCTTTTTAATATCCAGATGAGAGAAAATATATTTGTATAATTATTTGGTTCTTTTTCTCCAACTTAGCATGTGGAAGGTTTTCTGTTTTGGACTTTAGACTTCGTGTGTCTGCGCCATACAGCAACCACTTTCACCTGAATAATTATTTTTTCGGTTCATTAATCCTCTAAATTATATTTTATTTGATTATGAGTATGCTACTAAATTTAACTATTTTACTTCTTAATTTTAATTTTATATTTCCTTACGGTATTGTATGCAATTGTTTCCATCGTATGTTATTTCTACAACTATGTCAGTGCCGCGTAGTAATTTGTTTTTCGTGTTGTTCTAATCATTGGTATCCCTAACTCAATATACAAATAAACTTATTTTTCGTACAAAATTTTGTGTCATTTTACTATTTGACTATCAACGCCTACAATATTAGATGTTATCTTTCTATTTATATTGATTATTTAAGTATGAAATTTGATAACAAAAATATAAATATTTATAAAAAAAAAAAAAAAGTACATTGAGCTAATGTTTAGTCTATCGAATATAAGAACAATCGATTTAATTAATCGTACCCGAAGTTTGTAATGGGTTGTCCAATTCTACCCATCCTGGTCATTATCGTAATTCTCTCGAAAAACGAGGGCATACGGCTAACACCAACATTATATATACCCACCACAACCCATCATTCAAACCCCTCACTTCCTTCTCACAACCATCAATTTAATTAACCAAAAAGTACAAAAGAAAGAGAAAAATAAAATAAAATAAAACTAACGGCACAAGAAAACATGTCGGGCAGCAGCAAAATCCGGCACATCGTCCGCCTCCGCCAGATGCTGAAGCGGTGGCGCCGGAAAGCATCCTCTGCGGCGCGGCTCACACAATCCGATGTGCCAGCGGGACACGTGGCGGTGTCCGTGGGCCCGAGCTGCAGGCGGTTCGTGGTCCGGGCGTCTTACCTGAACCAGCCGGTTTTCAAGAAGCTGCTGGCCCAGGCCGAGGAGGAGTACGGGTTCACCAACACCGGCCCACTCGCGATCCCCTGCGACGAGTCACTCTTCGAAGAGGTCCTACGCTACCTGGCCCGGAAGGAGTCCAATTTAAACAACTCGGCCCGGTTCATGACCTTCGAGGACTTCCAGCGCTACTGCCACGTAGGCTTCCAGAGCAATGTCAAGATCTGGGCCGACTCCAGACCACTCCTTGATGGGCTTTGTGATTAGCCCAATCCAAGGACAATATCAAAATTAAAAAATAAAATATATGTAGTTCAGACTTCAGATCCAAACTTGGGTAAAGATACTAGGACATTTTTTTAAAAAAATATTTTTTACGCAAATTGTTCTAAATGGGGTGGATAACTGAAAATACTGAGACATTGAGAATTGTACGATGGAGATGGCACGAAGGTGGGCGAGTCTCCACCGAGTCGTCCCGGGTTCGAGTCGGAATAGGCCATGACTCGGGTCACCGATTCGTGAATGGGAGTGGAATGAAGAAGGGGGTTTGTGATTAATTTAATGGCGATTTTGTAAATGAAAAATTGGAGATTCGTGTTTACTCAATTTGGTGGAAGATGTAAAGAATTTAATTCAGTAATATACACCATTTTAATTTTTATGTTTATAGTTAATCCTTTTCCTAATATTTTTTAATTGCTAAGCTTGTTATATCCAAATAGAAAAGAGAGTCTGATATGGTTTGAAGGAAATAAATCAAATAATAATATTTGGTGGTGGTTGTCTTGTAACCTGCAGGCTGTAGGAGTTGTGAAGGCAACAACCCCATGTGAAAAAGGTCAGCCCAAATATTCTTCATTGATCAATATTAAATATGTGCATATTAAACTTGTCCATATTGCCCTAAAATGCAGAAAATACATTTTTGTAATTTTATTGACAAGTAATTTCATCAACAGATTACGAATTATGCTATGTGTGGTAATCAAATAAGCTAGCTTATACCTTATTTGGTGAGCTTATAAACTTCTTGTATTCAAAGAAGTTTCGTTTGGTAGAATGAGTTTTTTTAAAATGTACGAACTTATTTCATAAGCTCCTTTGGGTAGGTTTTCAAATAAGCTCGTTGAATTTATTATTTCAGTTTGCTTATCAGCTAATTTTACCAAACACTTTTATCATATAAGCTAGTTTTTCAACTATAAGTTATAAGTTATAAGCTCGAAAACACTTATAAGGTATAAGCTAGCTTATCAACTAATTTTACCAAAGATAGCCTTAGGATCGATTATGTGAACATGGGTGTTGTAAATATTTTTCTGGAGTAGAATCAAAAGATTCGAACACCGGGTCGCGTCTCTCGAGGAAGGTCAGCCGGATGATTATGCACGTTTATTCAAACACAAATAAAAGAAATAAAATTCCTAAACATTCTAATTCAGATGGTTTGTTTTGGATTTAATTATCAAATACCAAGATAATTTAAATAAAGCAATAGAAATAGCAAGCAACAACGAAGAACAATCAGGATTTAAGAAGCTAGGGAGTCGGGGATGTCCGTTTTGGTTCGAATTGCAATTAATGGGCGAGTGATTGTTCGGTTAAGTGATTTGAATAATCTGCTCGTTCAGGTACTCATTCTCAATAACTTTTCGTAACAAGAGAACGAACTTGAACGGCAAAATTAACAAGTCATTTAACTCCTAGGCAATACAGTTACAAACAAGCCTAGATTATACGAGCCTATTTCGACCGACTCCTCCCCTTTTCAGTTCTAAGAGTCGATTAAGATAGACTAGAGGGTATTAGCCGACTAGTAATTTAGAATAACCAACGTCATTCAAGAATATATTGAACTTAATTGAAAACAATTGGGAATTGAAGTGTCACCATTCAACAATTCTCAATATTCGAGCCTGACAATTGAAAAGTCCTTTGAAAAGATCAACTCGCACAAATTGAACAATCACGAAAATCATAATTGCAAACGATATCAAAACATCAATCCCCTATCCCTAGCATAAGGATTTAGCTACTCATAATCGAGTAATCAACAACAGCAATCACAACCCAAGAATTCATAATTAGCGATTAAATTAAAAGAGATTCTTACGATTGATAATTCTCAAGGTTGAATTCGATAAACAAGATTAATCCCAAAAGCACGACAAAATCCAAGATCAAATCCGTGTTCTACGTTGAAAATAATGATAGAACGATGAAAAACGAGTGAAAAGAGAGAGACTAGGCTTCTGTCGTTTTCTCTGGGTGAGAAAAGATAATTTCTGTCGCTGCCCGATCTCATATTCATATTCAGCATGGAATCACGGCGTGGGAAAGATGGCGCGACGCGGCGCGGTCTTCTTGCACGGCGTGAAGCTTCCCCGTGGCGCGGCACGGGCATCCAGCACGGCGTGGTGCATCCTCGCGGCGCGGCAGGATCTTCTAGCACGGCGTAGTGCATCTCGAAGTGCACCAGGGGCGAACGCTGGAGTGTTTGTCGGGGTCGTGGAAGCTTCGCGGCGCGGGGGTCGGACTGGCGCGGCGCGGCACGGGCGCGGGGCCTGGGCAGCCTGTTGGACTTTGCTTCTCGGGTCCGTTTGGGTTCGTTTCAACTGGGAATTCGATTCCGCTTTTTCCTGTGTGTTCCCAACGAACTCCTCTATTTATTTTAGCTTGCCCGACTAATTTTCACTTAAAATCCGGTCCTCCCGAGGCTTCCGACCTACACACCATAAACAAAGAAAAACCGAAAAAATACACGAAAAACACACGAAAGACTAAAATAGAGCGAACCATGAAATAAACTACAAAACGAACTAAAAATCAACTAGAAAAACTAATATGGGGGAAAAAGAAAAAAAAAATAATGACGAAAAACACAAAAAAAATGGGACAAACAACTCCCCCACGTTTAAACCTTTGTTCGTCCCGAACAAAAAGACACGAAAAGAAAAGAAAAGAAAACAAGCAAATGAGCATGGATAATAGTTTTAGACAAGACAAGCTTCAAATTAATCAACTCAGCAGAGGAGACTTCCAATGACCAATATAGCACACCTCAATTACAACTCGAATGTTACGCTTTGAAAAGACAAACTCTCAAGTATAGAAATATAATATATGTATGCTTCACTCAGTTTCTTGCATGAATATGAAATGGGTTCGCTCAAATTGGTCGATCATCCTGTTTCAACATAAGTTTGCCTATTGTCTATTCATACTCCAAAACATTCAAAGATCATGAATTTGCGAATCAAAAGGACTTCACAGGATGTAATGTAGGTATCAAAGGAAGGACAAATATAAAGAAAAAGTGGCTCAAATAAACATTCACACTCTCGAGCACATAAATACTCGAATATCTCACCACCTATCAGTAATCAATATGAAACTAATCATTCCCACCAAAAACTCCATACACTACTCACACATGCTCAAGTTGTAATGCAAATTAAGTACTCGACTGTTTTTCTTTTTCTTTTTTTTTTTCTTTTCTTTTTTTTTAATAGATGTTTTGCTTTTTCCTAACAAGATTTTTCAAGCACTCAAAATGCAACCCAAACAAGTTATAAACCTTCTCCAAACACATATTAGAAAGCTCCGTCATCATAACAAGTATACTGTCAAATATCAAATAACTCAATCGAATCGGTTGACAAGAAATAAGGTTCAAGTCTCAACGGGCTACTAATGAAAATATAAGTTCAAGGGTCAATGAAGAATGCTAAAACGAGCTATTTCAAAGAAATGCCTCAATCATTTTCACAAATCATAACTTTAATCGCTTCATTTCAAAACAAACTCAAAGCAAGTTCTGATCACCAAAGATTCCGACCAATATCTCTCAAGAAACAACATAAGGCTCAAATCTCACATAAGGTAAATAAATGTCCAGCAAAACGACACATCAAGTTCATCAGAGTATACTAGTCATGGTCATCATCACATCTCCTCAACATCATCAGCAATCATCAACAAATCTTAAAATTCACCATAATCCATACTCGCAAAACACACAAACTGACTCAAGATAAGACACTCAAACAAAAACAAAAGATGAAAACACCCTAAAAGAACTAGACCTGGTCAACCATATAGACACATAATCATGTAAAAACTTCACCACACTTAAAACCGAACAATGTCCCCATTGTCGATCATTAGTACTAGGAAAGTTTGCCCCACATAGTCAACCAACACGCAAAAATAGAAAAAACTAAACCAAATATAAAAAAGAAATAAAATAAAAAGAAGGGAAAACTATAAACGTACAGAGCACAGTGACTAGACCAGTCACTGTGAATCTGGTGGTGCAGGGGGCGAGTGGAGGTAGTCAGGCCCCGAACAGCGGCGGGCGTCTGACAAAGCAAATCTCTCGCCCCATGCAGATCGGGGCCGCTCCTTCGAACTCGGCTGGGGAGGGGTAGTGTGGCGGTCGGTATGGCGCTCCCTCTGGACATGGACACGGTCCTACAATGATCTCTTCGCGTGTTCTCGCATACACGCATCCTCAGTGAGCTGCTCAATCGCCCTGAGGTAAGCGCACTCTTCCACTAGCTCACTTTCGGCTCAGGCTGCAACTCTCGGGTGGAAATAAAGGTGAATTCCCCCAACACAGTCATGTTTGCAGTCCCTTTCTTTACATCAATAACCGTGCTGGTAGTAGCCATGAAGGGTCGCCCAAGGAGGGTGGTGTGTTGCTTCCCATTTTCTTGCATGTTCCCCATATCGAGTACGACGCAGTCCACGGGGACTATCAACTTCCCCACTCGGACGAGCACATCCTCCACAATCCTTGTTGGTTGGCGGAACGAGCGATCAGCCAACTGAAGGCGCATCCTGGTGCGCTTCAATTCTCCAAGCCCGAGCCGGTGATAAATTGCAAGTGGCATGAGGTTTATGCCCACTCCTAAATCAAGCATGCCCGAGGTACCTTCCCCATTCCCGAAAGCCATAGTGATCACAAAGCCTCTGGGGTCTTTTTCCTTCTTCGGCGAGTTGTGCTGGAAGACACTTTCCGCTTCGAACACGAGCACCTCTTCATTGCCTTCGAGCCTCTGCTTATTCGCCGCTACTTCCTTGAAAAATCTTGCATATGTTGGTATCTTTTTCATCACGTCTGGAGGAGATAGGTCATCGTTGGCCTTAACCAACATTGCATAAAGGTCTCGAATCATCTGGCGGTCCTTCTCTTCCAAAAATCAGCCTAGAAAAGGGATCCTGGGCCTGTAGGGATTCTAGGATTTGTGTAGGGTAGGCTC